TTCGCTCGTGAAGGAGCTTGCGAATAATTTTCACATCACCATTCATTAATGCGTCATTCTGTCGCATGTCATTTATGTTAAATTCAATGTGGTAGTTGAAATAAGTTTGTAATACGTCTATAAATAATTAGTCACATTATTGTTAACATGAACTTTATTCTCTGTGTTGGCTACATTCCTGGTCTGCATGAGGTCACTCTTACTCTCATTTATTATTCCCACTCACATGCACACACAGTCACTCACTCTCGACACAGAACAAAAGACACTGAAACCTTTATTAATAGGGTTTGCTGCTGTCGTAGTTGCAGGCGTACGTATATCTTTGCCTGCGATTTTGTCAGTCGTGATGTGTGACTTGTACATGAATTCGTATTTTACATACTTTCCCTTCTGTTTCAAAATTGGTTCAAGTAAATCCTTGCGGATTGCCAATTGTCGTTTCCCTTAAGTTATTCTCGTATCTATCAAGAAACGGTTTGGTATTCCAAGATAGTTCTTGCGGACGCTACCGCCGTCTCCCTCTCCTATTTTCTTCTTTAACTTGTAACTTTGTGGACGTAAAACACAAAATGAATAAAAGAAGACGAAAATAACTAAAATTCGACCAAAAAACTACAAATCATAAACAAAATCGGCTAGTGCCACTTAACACTCCCTCTTCTCTGTTGTCTTTCCTTCTCTTACTATCTTGACCCTTATATGTATAATTCTGGTTCACGATATCTGAAACGGCACCGAAGGAGGCTCTGCTGCAGAAACAATCGCCTTCAAGCGCTATGGAAAAACGTCACTGGAAGATCGCCAGAAGCCTGGAGACCAGGACGTTCGTCAGAGCAGGTATTAAGCCACCCCAGGATGTGGAAGGACGCCCGTAGATCCAGCGAAGCACCAGGAACTCGCCAGCACACGTACCAGTCGCCCCATGATGCTGTGGACAGGCGCCGCAGATCCAGTCAAACTCCAGGAGCGCGCAGCCGAGAAGGACCTCGACAAAGATCTGCGAGGCGTGCATTGGGCGAGTAAGCCGCCAGGTTAGGCCTGGACGTGGACTACGAGGAAGTCTCAGCGGGTCCAAAGTCAAAGAGGACCTGTGCGAAACCTTCAAGGACGTGAGGATGTCGAGGACGGACGGATTTACCAGGGACCAGGACAAGGATGACGACAAGGACGAGCAGCCACGAAGATGCACCAGATCAAGATTAGCAAGTTAGGACCAGCCGAGTTGGTCACCCTTGAGGCAAGTCTAAGCCGCATCGGGGACGAGGCGCTAGTAGGTGGCCGAACAATATATGGTGTAGTAAGAGCATGTATAGGCCACGTGGGCACATATAGGCTACATGGGTTCGTTAGCCATGTGGGTGCCCCCACACCAAGTCTGGCCACGTGTCAACCACGCCACGCGACGCTACCCAGCGGATGGGCGGTCCCTCACACCCCCACGCGAAAATCGGATATTTAAAGAGTAACCACTATGTGAATTAAATGTATGATATTCATCTCAGAATTTGTTCTTGTACCTCCAAATATGCATAAGATTTTAAAAAATGAATAAAAAAAAAAAAAAAAATGCGTTTAATATTTATAGCCTTCTGACGCCGTATAGACTCATCAATAGTACCTCAGAATACCCTACTAAATTAACGCTAGAGACATGAGAGTAGGCGTGTAAAAAACTGAAATGCCGCGGACTCCAAGAGCTCCTCTTAAGACAAATATACGAGCTCAAATTGATAACTAAGTACAACACCGTCTTGCCAAACATGCCATACATCTTTACTGTTATCGGAAATGCTTATAGAGTCCATATTTGAAAAGCTATCAACACTGGATGATGAAGAACACGTAGCCATAATACACAACACTGACAGACTACGCATATTTCAGTAAAAAAATTATTCAAAACTATATTTTTTGAGATTTTTTTATGCAACAAGTTGCTTTTGAAAAAGTAGTATCTCAGCAATGAAAAAATGCAAAGTTGTGCACAAGCTTAGTGGTTACTCTTTAAGGCTGAGAGTGACCAGGGTCAATCAGAGTCGGTGAGAGTCAGTCGCCAGCGCCGGTAGGGGTCACGTCTGATCCCCGTGCTAACCCAAGATTGTCACGTGTGTGTTCATATCATTGTGTGCTTAACTCTTAGCAATAAAGAGTCTCAAGCTACCAAGCTTTTACTACCCTGTTCACTAATGTATAAGAGGTTCAATTTATACCCTTTACAGCATGTGTGTGTATGTGTGTGTGTTAGCGTATATATATACATATATGTAAAGACATTTATATACATTTATATGTCAAAGTATATATGTATATATCCGTATATACATATACATAGGTGGATTAGGGAGCCTGCAGCGAGCCAAACTCTGTATGGAGCGGCGTCGGT